CGGTTCCAGCCCAAGCTATCCTCATTATCTCAGCATGCAAGCTAGAGAAGCCGGCTTCAGACGTTGAGCCGCTCGGCACCCTCCTCATTCCCGACGTCGACATCTCTAGGCGCGGCAAGACCCTCAACCTTGGCAAGCACTGCAAGATCGCCTAGAGCAGCAATGTAATCCTCATACTCGTAACCCAATTGATGAAGCATCCCTGCAGCCCACCTCAGCGTATCGCGCTTCTCTTTACGCGTGGCCTCAACCATTTCCTCGCCACTTCTCGTCTCGTTCTCCACTTCATCTTGCACCTTCCGAATGACGGCCCAGATCGTCTGTCGGTTGGGATTGATGCGTCCTTGCAAGGTGAGCGTAGCGCCAGACTCCTGCCTAACTTCAATATCTTCCGGTCGATCCTCATACTCAATGCTCCTTGTGACGCGATATTGCGGCATAGTGGGTAATCCGCCCGGCGCTCGATATGACTCTAGATATCTTCTTGACGTGTGACACCAAGTTTCTACCATCGCTTTGCCCTTAGCGCTGCCGTACCCACCGAGTACGCCGCTTAGTATGCGGTTGAAATCGTCAGTGGAGAGACTGACTGCTTGACGGGAGGAAAAAGCGAGGAAGCGAGAGCAGTAAGCTTTCCACTCGCTGTCTACGGTCGACATGATGGATAAGGTGCAGTAGAGCTCATCGCGTATATTGCCAAGTATCATGTTCTCCCATGCGAAGAGCAATCCAGTGAAGGTTTCCTGGGCGCGTACTTTGACTTCTTCGGGGCCAGGCGAAGTTCGAAGGAGTTCTGCAGCAAAGCTCGAAATGATGATGGGCCGCGGTCTAAATGTAGAGGTCTCTTCCACATACTTTTGCATGCCTCGGACAGAGTCCCATTGACGGAGTTTGATCTGTGAACACAGCAAGGCTGTGAGAATCTCGGCTGGCATGCGGTACTGCTGGTATTTCTCATTCCATGTACCGGCCTTCTTGACGACGTCTAAGACGAGCTTATTCTCTCCGGCCATTGTACCGAAGCGAACGACAGAAGCGGATATGTTACGATGACTGTGTAATTCACTACCGATCAGAGGACCATCCAAATCGTCAGAGAAAAGTAGCCAACGGCCCAGATCATACAGCTTTGACTCGGTGACTAGATCTAGCAGCCGCGCAAGGAGAGGAAGGGGGAGCTTGATGTCAAAAGCCGGAAATTCGACTGGTGGCAAATGGCTTGTAAAAGGTTCATCAGGTCGTAATTGCGGACTGCTGCGAAGGACTTGAAAGAACTCTTCCACAGACTTTTGTTTGTTGTCATCAGTGTGTTGTTGAAGCATAGACAGTGTAGTTATTGCTCCCTGGATGTCTCCATTGCTGATGAAAGCACGCATCGCCCGATGCAGGAAGCTGAGTGGTATGGTGGTGGGCTCAAAAAAGTAAGGTACTTCGGTACTAGCGGAGGCAGACGCATTTGCAGAGCCGACCTCACCACCAAATCCTGGAGCCAGCTCGAAAACCCTCAAAAGTAGCTCTGGTCGCTTCTCGGGGGCGAAGCCGCCAGATTCAATTAATCGGGCCATGACGGAGTCCCAAGCTGAAGAACCGAGACTTAAGTTGTTCTTGTCTAAGAAGCCTTTTAGAGTCTTGATAGAGGCAATCAGACTTTCTGGAGTAGCACCGCGAGCTCCTACCCCTAGTCGCATTTGATTGACAAGCCCGTCAACGAAGCCTGTAACGATCTCGCTGCTTATAGTTCTGCGGGTTCGTGCGCGGTCTTCTGCGCTTGCAGCAGCTTCCCCGTTCATTGGAAGCAAGCTCCAAGCTGTTGTCGGAGCTGGGGCCTTACTCTGCTCTGCTTCTAGGATCTCCCGCCAACTGATGAGTGCCCAGGCGTGTTCTCCCTCTCTGTTTGCCAGTTGCTCCAAGATGGCAGCACCGTCAAGTGTCCAGCCACCGTGCAAACATGACCACAGAACAAGCTCTAGCCACAGCTCCGGAGCCACTTCCGTAACCCGAACCTTGTAACGCGATCCAGGTATCTCGTGGCCGAGGAAGTAGTGAGCGTTGGCGCGATCCTTGGCAGTCTTGACGGAAGCTTCGTGAGCATTCCAGGTCGCATCAGACAGAGCTGTCAAGATCTTGGACGATAGCATGTGGAGTGTCGGAGGCTGCTGGAAGGCATGCTTATCCTGTGGATTTCGGTATGTGTAGACTGAGTCAGGCATCAGGCCCAAATGATGCAGATAGGCAATCATCTCCAAGACGTGCGGCATAATGGTGTGTTGCTCGCCGTTGCTCTGCTCCGCAGCCGCCAATATCATATTTGCCAGGCTCCTCCACAGCTGTCCCAGGGCTCGCTTGACCATGACATGCGAATAGCGAATCGATTCGGGGTCGGATGTTACGACGTCCAGTGTAAGTTGCAACTTGCGGTTTGGGTATGTCCTTTGAAGACGCAAGGGACCTTCAGTCAGCTCTTTCAAAGACCGGTGTTCTTCTCCCTGCAATATAGCATATGAATACTGCTCAAGATGAGCGCTCAGATCGAGTGGAGAATTCCCGTCTTCTGTGAGCTTCTTGACTATCCATAGTACCGTCTGCCATTTCCCCGCCTCTACCCCCAGGTAGCTAAGGATGTCTATTGAAGCATCCTGGGCTTTGTTGATGAACAACGCGAAGTCGAGCGAGGTTGTGGGCCTTTCTGGCTCGTCGGACGTCGCTTGCCGCAGGTGACGCGGAAGGAATGGCTCAATGGCATCGAGCCATGCTTTGATATCGCCACGAGCCTCTCGAAGTGGATACTGTATGCGTGATCGAATGCGTTCTTTAGGCTTGAGAGGAACTACTCGGGTAATCACATCCCCTCTATCTTCCGTCGGTGGCTGAAGACGTGACTGTGCATCTGTGGGGCGGCGTTTTCCAGAGGTGAAGGTGCGTTTCGAGGGTCTACTGAGGGCGGGAACGAGGAAGGCGGCGACAGAACAGGGAGCAGCGATTCCACGAGAGTTCGGACGGAAAGCCTGTGAGAGGGCGCTGCGAAAACATGTATGCGCAGCGCTCATTGAGGGGTGGCGGATGAGGGGTGAGGGTGAATGCTCGTGCCAGCGGCATGTCTTGACTTTTTCTGACTAGGATCATGACGAACTGCACTCTCCAGATCCGAGACGCGCTAAACTGGCTGACAGGGATCAGCGCCCGTGCTCAAGGCTGCCCTGCCACTAGCGCCTCCTGTGGTGACCTCACGCGTCGACTGGCGCAAACATTTCGCGACGTCCAGCAATTGAAACAAGACAGGACACTTTCACCCACTGCAGCCTAACACGTCTGCACATATAAGCAATTACTTCTGCGCGTGTCCGCAAAACACATAGCAACCCAAACCCCACCTACCTCCCGATACCTGACAACCGCGATCATGGGTGTCTATCGCGTCGGTAAGTACCTGAACGAAGTTGGATACTGGCGCGGCCAATGACCTCTAGGCCGCATGACAAAACCACGGTTTCCGTTCACCAGAACTGGGCTGATTGTGCTTCAGAGGAATCTCCTAACAACCGCGCCGGTTGTCAAGTTAAAGAATGCAAAGATTCTGGCAGCAAGATAATGAAGGGCCAGTTCCGCTATGCGACACAAGTAACTATCAAAGATCACGTCAGCTGGCAATACCGTCATTGGTACGTTTTGATGTTTGCCGTGTTCCTGTCACTTGCATACTGATCATCCCAGGGGATGCGTTACTCCTAAACAGATTGAAAATCTGATCGAGACATGCGGAGGTGATACTGACATGGTCGATGGCTACGACGAGTTGCCCGCCGAATTTCAAGAAAAGGTCGATTTCGCGCTCAAGAACGGCCACATTCCGGACGAGGACTGCACACGCGTAAGTATCTTCACATTTCACCCCAGATGATTCGCCAGCGATTCACTTACTAACCGTCTCAGGATCCTGAGCTAAACCGTCCAGGCGTAAAGAAGCCTAGGGCAAAGAAGGCAAAGAAGGGCGCCGAAGATAATGACGACGAGGACGCTGCTTCCCCACCCAAGAAGAAGCGCGCAACCAAGGCCAAGAAGAACGAGGTCAAGGACGAAGTCGAAGATGAAGAGGAGGAGGAGGCCCCGGCACCAGCTCCCAAGAAGCGCGCCACCAAGGCCAAGAAGGTCAAAGCAGAGGATCAGGACGAAGAAGATGTCCCAGCTCCCGCCCCTGCCCCTAAGAAGCGCGGCCGACCTGCCAAGAAGGAAGTCGAGGAAGAAGACGGCGACGAAGAGGCCGCCCCTCCTGCAAAGAAGGCTCGAGCCAGCGGCCGTGCCAAGAAGGCTGCTCAGCACACCGACGCTAGCGACAAGGAAGCTCCCAAGCCCAAGAAGGCTCGAGGCAAGAAGGCTGCAGTCGAGAACCTTGATCCCGAGCCTGAAATCGGTCTCGATTCTGAGGCTGAAGTGCTTTCGGATCACGCAAAGGAAGCTCCCGAGCCTAAGAGAGCTCCACAGAAGAGGTATGTTTAGCTAAGGGATAATCATCGTACTTATGACTAATGGTATTAAGGGGCCGCAAGAAGGCCGCCGCCGCCGCCGAGTAAGCTTGCCTCGTGTATGACCAATAAGTTGTATTACCGAACCATGTAGTCGATTTACGACGAGGCGTTAAGGATTGTCATGGAGAGTATCGTATGTGTTCTTACGCAGTAGAGATACCCAGGGGAGCGTCGTGCTTATGAGAGTCGTTGTGCACGGACAAGGCAAAGTCAGTTCATATTTAGCGTTACATGTATATCAGTAGGTCTCTCTTCCTCTCCTTTAATGTTATCGCAATGTTCAATCTTTATTTGTTAATTGTCTCGTTTTTGTGTTACATTGAGAAAATTGCTCACAGCCCATTCATTATCACGCGCTTCGTATCACGTATTTGTATCGTACCACGTGGATTCCAATTACATCCACTCCGTTCCATTATCTCTCCCAGGCTTCATACATAGCAAAATAACCAGCCCAAAATCTGAAATCATATTCCCTCACACACCCTTCAGCCTCTCCACCTCCTCATTCATCAACTTCTTCCAATCCACCATCACCCTTCCACCCTCACACTCAACCGTGGGAAACAAGTCCTTGAACCCAGCACCATTCCTAGCACGCTGCGTCATATGCTCGTGTACCACGTCCTGACCATTACAAGACTCCGAGTGTAGTGGGCAGCGGGCTACGAAGGTAATTTTCTGAGCATCAGTGGTGGTGGCGCTGGTGGTGTTGTCGTTCTCAGTACCAGTGTGCTCGGTAGGCGGGACGAAGCTGAACGGAAATATTAGACGGGGCGTTGATGGTGGGTTGGCGGCGTTGTAAGCTTCATTCAGTGCCTTGGAAGCAGCGCGTGGACGGCCAGTGTGTACAGATTTCGATCCAGCGCGTGGACGACCTGTGACAAGAGGTTTCTTATCAGCGCGATCTATGTAGCTAGCGGGCGGAACATCGTCATCGAAAGCGGGAAAAGAGGAAGTATCCGGTGTGTGCCGAGGAACTGGAAAGGTGAAGGCCGGCATGGCATCGCGGTGCAGTGACGTTGCAACTACCGGGCTTCCAAATAGACCAGTGGGTGGATGGACAATGGGCGTCTGTGACTGCGATGAAGACGTCTCTGGCTCGGCGTTGACTATATCGTAATGCCTCATTGCCAACTCTCTCAAATACGCCGTACTCTCCGTAGACCGATAACCCGGTGCACGGAACGGGCTAGACTCCCTTGTCTGAGCCCTAGATGCATCATTACGAATCACATCCGGATGACCCAGACCATGGAGATACAAACCCTCATCGACGTCCTTCTCGGGTGAGTTTGAATCACCCCGTGGACCCCGGCTATTCACCCTTGACAACGGGCGCGAGCGAGACCGCAAAGAGACACGAGAAGGCGACGGCCTCCGGCTCACAGTTTCCACAAACGCAGAAATATCGTCTGGGTCCATCCAGCCCTGTGATACCCCAAGGTTGGCTACCAGTTCCCCATCTCGTCCTTCCCGGTGTCCGCTTCCTCGCAGATGGTCCTCTGTTACATCTGCAAGAGGACTCATGGACCGGCGGAAACCTTCTTCTGCGAGAAGTTGGTTCAGACGCGAAGTGCTTGCTATAGGCCGGAGTGAAACATGACCATGGCCGTCGTGGCCGTTGCGTACACTGAGACCATGGAGGTGGGTTGGTGAGACGGGGCGTGAGACGGAGGGCGTGTTGTCTACAGAGGCGTGGCGGGATCCGGGGGCGGAGTATGCGAGATACCTACCGCGGTCGTGGGGTGTGTAGGCTGTTGATGGAAAAGTTTGTGCAGGCGGAGCTTCGACGGCGCCGATTCGCGGAATGTTGACTGGAGAAGATGAGCTTTGTTGGCTGGTCACTGGTTGGTAGTGAGTCTGCGGGCGGCAAGCACTCTTTGACGATACTTGTGAGGGAACTAGCAATGTCGTAAAGGACGGGACACGTAAGGGAGCTTGACTGGGCAAGGGTTCCTGTGCGCTTGCCTTGGGAGTCGTAGCAGCGTCAAAATCCTTTGTGCTGCTTGCCACAGTCTCGGTTTCAATTCTCTTGTGTTCTCCCGTCTCTTCTGCTTCAAGTACCTTCCTCGTCTCCTGCTTCTTGAGTTCTTCCTGCGCTTGTTGGAATTCCCATTCGTGTACGCAAGACTTCTGTAAGGCGGCAATATCCTGTTCGAGTATAAGATCCGGGTCTGTATGATTGTAAATGGGCGCTTGATCTTTGACGACTCCTACTATGTTGATGCCCTTTTTTGTTGAAAATGGGACAGGTTCAATGGGGTTGCTAGCTGGAAAAGCATAGATGAAGTGGCCTCGGTAGTGATACGCAACGCCAGTCTCGAGCGTGTGATGACCTTTAAGCCCGGAGATATAGACACGTTGTCCAGTGGCTTTGATACGAGCTGCGCGCTCTGACATTTAGTCAGTATGTGAGCTTTGAGTGGTCCGCACGGATATTTGCTCTTTGATTGATCACATGGGGAAGTCGCGATAGTTACATCTCGGTGTCCACGCTCGACTTACCATTGGCGATGGTCTTCGCACAGCCTTGCCCAGCCATGTTTTATGCGTTGAATTGGAGAGTTGTATGCGTCGGCGCTGAGGTCGTACGTGGTGTCACAACAGTGTCGCGACAATCGCAGATAAGACTTGGACCCTCAGCGATGGTAGCTAGTCGTGGGAGTAAAGTAGACAGATGTTGGAAGCCCTTTATTTTTGTCCAGTGGTTTGAGGCGATCGCGTGCACAAGAGCAAACGAAACCTGAACTAATACCATGACGAATGACCCTGCGCGTTGCACTGTAGTGAAAGTGAAAGGGGAACAGGAGAAAAGAACGTCCTCTGGAGTAGTAAACAAGCGACAAAGATAGGCCAGGGAAGAAGTATACTCTACCTTTGCAACGGGATATGAGAGGCAATTGCCTCTATCAAGTCGAATATAAGACATCGGTGACATCAGTGCATATGGGAAATATCATATCTCAAGCGTCAGAATGTTTACGAATTCAACAAGAACAGTGACGCGCGAGGACAGGTAAAGACTCTTGAATAGATAGGATATCAAATTCATTACTCCACGCTATCAAAATCCTCCTCTTTCATGTCGGGTATCACACTCTATCGTGTAGAAGAAGTACCATCAGAACCGTCAGCAGCAGCACCGAGACCCTCCTCATCACCAGGCTCGGTGTACGTGCCAGCCTTCTTTGTAGCATGACGCGTGCGTTCGTCAAGGATGTTGGAGCTGTCGATAGCATCCTTCTCATCGCGCTCTGAAACATGTTAGGGCCGTGGCGATTGTTTGTGTTGTAGATACATACCGAGCTGCGCATCAGAGTCACCGCCATTGGTGTACTCGGTCGCCTCTACGGGCGCCTCGTCGGCCTGGACGGGGATCTCGGACTGGCCGGTACGGGACTTGTAGTCGTTGTCCATGGCGTTGCCGCTGGGGATGTCACTGGAGCTCATTGTGATGATGTTGGTGTGGATGTTATTCAGGGGTGAATATAGAATTGGTAGAGATGTATGAGGATGGAGGCAGCTGTGATGATTTGATGATGTGATGTGTTGATGTAGAGCAACTTGTGTGGCATCATCTCTTTATGTAGGAATTGCTGTCAAACAGAGAAGGGATACGTCATGTAGTCTTCTCAAGCCTCTGATGCAACAAGATGGTTCGAAACAACAAGGGGCACGGTTCGCAATCTAGATCCCATGCTACGATCGCGATTATGACAGCATAGTCGAGAATCCGATACTGACCTCCACAATGCGCCATGCCAGCATGAGATTGACGTGTACTGCAAGTGGATAAGCATGTCGATCCGGCAAGCGGGATCCCTTACTAGAGGCGGGAGATGATGATCGCTTGTCAATAAGGTGCGATGCAATGACAAGTCTAAATGTGAGAGTCGCTGCGTCATACGATGGCGATGATGCAAGTAGATTTGGATGATCCACGGCAGCCATCCAGTATCCCTTCTCTTAACTGTCAAGCGGCTATGCGCCAGCATCTTTGGTGTGCCATTGAGCTGTGTGAAGCCATACAGATGTGAGCGATGCAGGGACGGGGTGCGATACGATACCCTGAAACTGCGTCATCCTTTTGCAAACGCACGGCATCTAAGTACCCGCCATGCAAGGGACAACAAGAAGTCCCATCAACCCAAAGCTAGCAACGCACCTGTAGCCAAAAGAAGGTGACAGTCGACGTCAACACGAGCGTAGCGCCAGGGGAGTGTGGAGCCTTGTGTTTGGGCAGGGAGATTGGCGAGATCGATCGTGCATGAGATATCGGATTCTGTAAGATGTCGATGACGCTGGGGCTGGGGGACCTGGAAGTTTGTTTTGCGGTGGCTGGGTTGACGGGTCGACGTTAGGTTAGGAGCATTGACGCGAAACGCGAGATCGCGACGTCACGACATCACGACGTTGGCCCGGAAGCCATTCCGACTACCCAGAACGATGGACAACGCCATCTGGCAACGCGTGTACAAGTCTTCTCGATCGACGAAGTCCATAATGTCGTTGCCCACTGCACTGCTGCTTAGAGCATACGAGCATGTTCCCGACACCCAATTGCTCAAGTTGGTTGTTGAGGAGCAAAACACTGAGAACAAACGGCGCCAAGCTTTTATCCTCGGGCATTTTTACTAACAAATCGCTTACGGTCAAAAACACTTGGATAGTCGAGTCTCTCATGTTCGAGATGCGACTCTATGTGGGATAGCAAGTGGGACAGTGAGCGGGGCACTTTTCAAAGGTTGAGCGACCTTCGTGGGCGCGCTTAACGAGCCTGCATTCTTGGAATATGAAGAATTCTTTTACCAATACTGGGATCAAATCACCTTCCGTCAGCGTGGCCGAGGTATGTTACCAGTATGAACTTCCAGATCGCAAGTGCTGACAATGGATAGTGGTTATGGCGTGTGACTCAAGCGAAAGCTTGTCTTCTTCGGAAGACGCACTCTCAAGAGGTTTCTCATAGGGCAACCTGCGTGGGTGTAAGTTCCAGGACCACATCGCTCGCTACGAGCATGTTACTAACAAACTCATCAGTCGAATCCCACCGCTGACAGCATTCTTTTTGCTTGCTTCTGTGTCTTTTCGAACAGTAGGATAAGATGCGATGCGATTTGTCTAAAACAATCTTCTCTTTTTGCTCATGAAGATTTTCGGAACGTTCCGAGCTACCTCGCATAACTTCGGAACTTTGTTTGACTCAATGTTACCCCCCTTACAAAACACTAGAATGACGAAAGATCTATCAGACGTCTGAGCTGTCCTTGAGGCATGATAGATGCGGCTCGTGACTCAAAAAGTCTCCCCCATTTCGATAAACTCTAAGAATCTCCGAGTTCCGCTCCTTCGCTTGGTGGACCATTCGCTCAATAGCATCCATAGCGAGCTCTGCAATCTGCTGCTCATCAGCTTCTTTGGCTTCATCCCGGATCTCATGCAAGCGTTTCAGCCAGAACATCCACCTCCAAGGCGTGAACCCAATTGGCGACCTTGACCCGAAGTCTGATTCCACGAAGAGACTGCCTCCTCGACCAACATCGCTCGGACAGTCGTTCCAATATGTGTCTGAGAGCATAATAAGATTGTGCCCGACAATCTTGATCCATGCACAGACGGACGGCAACAGATATATGTGACTCAAGTTGTGAAGTGTTCTGTGCTTGTCTTCTTCGTCCGGCTCGTCTCCGATGCGAAGGGCTCGCGCCTCTTCGAACGCATAACGGAAGAGGTGAAGAGCAATCTGGCACAACCGATCTTTACCAACGCGAGTCGAGGCGAGCTTGGCCAGGAAAGCTGAGAAGTTCAGTCGGTGAGCGCCGGACATGGATCCAGCGTACTCCATCCAATACTTCGTCATATCGGTCGCAAAAAAAGGTAAGTCGTTCCACAAGACTCCGTCAGCTGTGCGTGCAATGTCGATGTCGTTATTGTCATAGTTCGGCGTGGGCCTCGTCAGCGGGCCAAGGCCCTGAATCCTGAGGATATCAAGGACTAAGCTGTCATTCTCAGGCTTGTCGTGCGGTGCGTGGCGACTGAGCTGGTAATACATATGCCAGATAGAACATATGGGGCCCTGAAGAGAGTCGGTGCCAGATCCGAAGCAGTATTTGTTGGTGACAGCCCACGTCCTGTTGCGGAATGCCACTGTTCTGACTTCTTCCAGCTCCCCCCGAGCAATGCACTCCACAATGTCCTGTTGGTCTATAACACTGCGCTCGGATCCACTAGCCTGGGGAACTCCTTGTGGCTCGGGAGCCAAGAGAGCGTCGCGATAGCGATGCATGGTGAAAGGCAAATTTTCGGGCAGGTAACAATGGTATGGAGAGAAAGAATATGGCCTCAACAGCGGGAGAACAAGGCGACCGATGCGAACTTGCACGTGCCTTAGTGCATGCGTGGCAGCGGCGCGGTCCGCCAACAGCCCCTACCTAGCTTCTTAGGTATCCAACTGCATAGCCGCGCTGGCTGCCTCGAACCCACAAGAGACCGCCTCTGGTATGCATTTCGTGCACTGGAACGAGCGGAAAACCTTACTAGATAGTACCTAGAATTGCATTTCAAAGTTAACCATGAGTTTATCCCTAATACACATATAGAATGACCACGCCAAAGATGCAGAAAGACTATCAGATAACACAGCCGTGACCATTCTACGCACTGGCACCGGCATCCGCCACAGTCCCGCTCTCGCTGGTATCCTTCTTCGCCTCCTCAGTCTTCTTCGCAGCGGCCATCTGCCATGCTGGGATAGCGGCGCGTCCCGGCGACGGCCTACCGTAAGCAGGGAGCGGCTTCTCTGTGCTAGGAGTGGGAATGGAGCTAGGCGCGGGTGTTGTAGCACCATTGGTCTGGTTCTCGGTCGAGCTCGTGCCGTTGGTCTGCTCGCTGGGCGCAGGGGTAGACGATGGCTGGGGAGTTGATGCCGAGGCAGCAGGTGTGCTGGTGCCGTAGTAGCTTGAGGTGCTCTGTGGGCGTGGTGGTGGTGCGCCGGATCCCATCCTGTTTCCGATCAATGTCTTCAGGCTCTTCAGCTCAGTAGACAGCTCCTTCAGCCTGTTGTCGGTCGCCTCCTTCTGGGAGTCAAGCGCCTTTGGGATCAAGTCCCTCAGGCCTCGGACGTCGTCCTCAATGCGTCTGTTGTCGTCGCCCTGTCTTCTCGATGACTCCTTTAGACTCGACAGAACACTCTCCACCTCGCCCAGCGCGTCGTCGAGTCTGTGTGTCCGTGCCTCTTCCGAAGCCTTGAGAGCGGATGTGTCGGTGTTGAGTTGCTCGAGGAGATCGAATGCGCGCTTGAACTGTTCGTCGACAGAGGCCTTGTCTTGCTCCAGTTGGGGTTGCGTAGGTGGCTGTATGAGGGGCAGGACGTATCGTTTCGCTGTGAAGTATAGACCGTACCCTACACCGCCCATTACCGTCGCCATGATGAAGTAGTCTCGCCAGTCGCGTTTCGGGGGTCTATGTAATCAGCATCAACTTCGAGTATCTGGGGTATGCGAGCTTACTCTGGTGGCGGTGGCGGCGGTTGCCAGTACCCTTGGGGAGGATAGCTCGCATATGGGGCTGCAGGTGGTGGTCTGTACGCATTGCTGGCTACTGCGGATGTCTGGGGTGGAGGCGATGAAGGTAGGCTGGGGTCTTCGGCTGCACGCGCGAGCGAGACATCGACTTCTTCTTGCGTGAGGTTCTTGGACTGGAGGAAAGCGATGCGCTTCTCAAGGGGCGCGCTGGCAACCGACGGGTCTTGGAGGACTGACGAGAATGATTAGTATCGTCGCGTAGCGTGGAGCGCGGCACGCATCAACTTACAAGATACAGCAGACTGTATGATATCCTCGCGCACCATCTTGACTGCACGTTACGCAATGCCGGTAGCACGCGCGGGTTGTCGATTGATGATGGAACTGGAGAGTCGCGAAATGACGATCCGAAAGCTGGAGGCGGGTATGCCTCGGCTCCTTTAGATCGGCGGTCGGTTCCGCCTCGTCTCACGTGGCACGGCGACCGCACTTTCTTTCCGACTTCGACACTTCAACGCGAGACGTCCAAACGTCAGATTGCGACTTTTGATTACAGCATTCACTGACGCTCGAATATCTCGACACTTGGGCTCTGCATGCTATTTCATTGAATCATGAGCCATCATTCACGAAGTTAGGTACATGGTACCCCTGTATAGCGTGTCTTTTAGAAGTACGACATGAGCATGTCTTTGAATTACCTATCTCTAAGTATCATGGTATTGGTTTTCTTCTTAGTTATATCACTTATCTCAGTTCATCTCATTGTCTCTTTCACTCCATAATGACATTGTTCCGCTATAACATCGGGAAGAAAGAGCAGCAAGCCACGAAAGCCATAGAAATCACTACACAGCTGTCGCATAGGCGGCTTGCATGTTTCGTAAAATTTTCTTTGGTTTTTGAAGCATCGAAAATTGTTAACGCGCACTCTTTGTAAGCGTCTTTAACTTCCAGGTCTATTGTTTGATTATGTGCATCAATCACTTGGTGTTTGGACAACCTACATAAAGCCTCTTGGTTTGGCCTGGTTGTATAGGGTACCGCCCACTCTTCAGAAGAGAGCTTGCTCATCGCTATGGTCAGGAGTAGTCTGCGTACTCGATACGAATGTGTAGTCGTCCGAAAGGGGAAGGTTATTGTGTGCGAATCGATTTTGCTGCGGTGCATTCGCGCCTTCACTCCGTTGTGAACAATGTCCAAGACAAACGAAACTTCTCGCCCCTCAATCAATGTCACTTTCGTTAGCTTCCTATTGCATCTCCTCCAAGTTTCGCTCGTTCACAGAATTTGCCATCAAGCTCAGCGTCAACATGGATCATACTAACATTATCGACACCGACGAAGCCGCATACGCGATGGCTGCGGCCTCTCAAGGCAAGGGCAAAGGCAAGGGTAGGAAGAAATCGAATGACACCCGCGCGAGCAGTCCCATAAAGCCGACGAAGACGACCATGGAACCAACGAAGGCAAGGTCAAAGACCCCGGCAAGTCCGACATCGCCTACAACTCCCACCTCGACGCAGGCTTCCGCACCCAGGTTCTACGAAGCAAATGGCTTGAAGATTCCGCTCTATAGTCAAAACGGCCTGGGTAACAAGGAGAGGCCCAACGCTCGCCTGTCCAAGACTCTTCTCAAATACAACACGGACGAGCTACTCGATATCGTTGGGCAGTATGCAGGTGCAGATAAGAGGCAAGAGCTAAAGAATAAGGGACTAGCAAAGACGATGCTTGCAAACTGGATTGAAGAGAAGGAAACACTTGCTCTTGGACGCAATCCGAAGTCGGAACTGTCTTGTAGGTTCATACCTACCCTGCTCACTGCGAGCAGATGTAATTACAATCCAAGTTGCAGATGATCAAGGAAAAGTCGAGCAGTCCGATGATGTCGCTTCCTTCCTAGCACCCACTACCGTAACATCTTCTAGCCTAAATACTAGGAAGTATACCGCTACAACTCCCGCCTCCAACAGCCAAGGAGTTTATCCGCCAACCTCGACCAAAGGCGATGATATATTCGGCCAGCCCCGTCAGCTGAAGAGGAGCGCACCTGGTAGGTCACGGGACGACCAACCACCCGCGAAGTTACAGAAGCGTGACGTAACAACAAACTTGAGTATTACAGATATTGAGAATTTGGATAAGAAACGCTCGATAGACAAGTCAGTCGACGACGTTATACCAACGCTTTCGCAAACGAACGCGCAAACGAACGCGTATAACGACAGAGATCATGATATATACCCCCAGAACGCTTTCTTCGACAGCACTGGCATGAATCCGTCTGATCCCGACCGCTCTTCGATAATAGTCCGGGGTGCCGATGAGGATCGCGTGTTGACTGCTACCTTTCATGAGACGTTTCGCGGGCCCGTGACATACCTCTTTGAGACAACAAGTAAGTTACAGAACTTCTTTACCAAATCCTAATAGACTTCAAGGTACTATTAGGTATCGCAAAACATCTGATAGTAATCTGAGTACCTCCTGGAGTGGTCAATACATACTCTCTTCTCGGCCATTTACTCCGCTTGCTGCTATCACTACACCCCACTAATTCCCCCAGTACCACACAATGCTCCCAGCCCCCCTTTAAGAATTTCTCCACCTCCCATTCCATACCTGAAGGAAGGATTGCATGGTCGTAACGGCGATTTCCAAGACGACCCCGACCGCCGCACAGGTGTAGGCCATCAGATTGAACCAGAAGACCAACTCAAGTGGGACGAATACAAGAACTTCCACGGCACAATCTACCAACAGTTTCCACAATACCCAGCCACGGTTACAGCTGAGATGAAGAAGGCATGGAACCAATGGCATAGATGGTATGGTGATTTCACGAAGAAGTATCCTGGGTATGCGGTATCTCACCTTTGGCCTTGTGGGTGCGAGGTGGCCAGAGATGAGGATGAGAGTGAGGAGGACTAGGGGTGAGATACTTCTGCTGTCCGCGTGCGCAACATGGTGTGGGTTGCTGGAATTATGGTTGGCTCGTCTACTGTGTGCCATGGTATTGCAGTTGCTGGAGTGGACTTAACCAAGGTATTGTTGCACTCAGATGTGAGAAGAAGGGCACGTTTTTCGCATTAGCCAAGAGCACCACAAGCATGTAAGCTCGGTTGTTCAAGATGTCGGATCATCGTTTGTATCTTTGAAGCATCTTGCACTGCAGTGTATCAAGCTATAAAGATCCAAAGGCACTTGATCTTGAGACTATCCACCATACGCAAGGCCTCGAGCTGTCCGTGGGATACCTAGAGTACCTTTGGGTTTGCTTGTCAGTACAAGACTTTTTTTGATAAGATCTAGCTGTGTGGAGGCCATTGCCGATGATGGGTTCTTACCTCATGTGCTAACCTCCTTTACGGCACTGAAGACATCTGCACTGACTTTAATCCCAAGGCCTCATTGCTCTGGTACTCCAGTAATACAACACCTCGCTACGATGGATACTCCACTTACCTGGCATATATTCCTTCCCAAAACGATCTTTCTCCTAATCTCATCACATCTTCTCTCCAAACCGCGATCATCAAGTTCTCAAGCAAATACACGAAACAGATCGCTCAAAACAAAGTCTACGACATCAGAAAAGCTACTGTAATGTCTACTTCACTCAAACGCACTTCCGAAGAAGCGGGAGCAGAACCCATAAGCATGCGTTCGAACAAAAAGCCATGTCTCTCGCTCGAAGTACCACAAAAAGAGATCTCCAAAGAGGAAGACAAAACACCCAAGACGCGAGTAACTGCCGCAG